ACCCTAAACCCTAAACCCTAAACCCTCAAAGGTATATCCATGATGGGGCATGGATGCCAGCTTAAGCTCTGGGCCTCGGAGTTTAGAATTCACGGTTAGGGTTTGGGGTTCAGGACTTCGGGCTTGGACCTAGGGCTTAGGGTTTAGGGTTTAGGGTTTAGGGTTTTTGGCTTAGGCGGGACTGGCCTGCGGGGGCCCTTTTTCTTTCTTTTTTACCCCCAGCGTCTTCTGCGAGTTTTTGAGAGATGCCCATGGAGACATTTCGACGCAAACTGCAGCGAGGACCCTCCTGAACTCCAGTGAGGGTTTAGGGTTTAGGGTTTAGGGTTTAGGGTTTGGGGGATGGGGTTTGGAGTTTGGGGTTCGGGGTTTCCGGCAATAAAGGGGGGCTGGGGTTGGAGTTGAGGCCGCTAAAAGCTGCAGCCACGAGAAAGAAACGCATTTGCTCCCAGGGTTTAGGGTTTAGGGTTTAGGGTTTAGGGTTTAGGGTTTAGGGTTTGGTGCGGTTTTTAGTTTTTAATGTGCACTTGAGGGAAAAGGCTCAGCCGTACTTGAACGAGAGAGAAGAGTTTACACTAGACGTCAGTCGACCCGCTGCTGCTGCTGCTGCTGCTGTTGCTGCTGCTGCTGCTGCTGCTGCTGCAGCCGTTTCTGCTGCTGCTGCCAAAGCAGGCCCCCTATTAATGCTCCTGCGCTGCCTTTGCCGCGGCTGCTGCTACCGCCTCTGCTGCTGCTGCCAAAGCAGACCCCCTTAGTAATGCCTCTCCGCTGCTGCTTTTGCTGCTGCTGCTGCTTTTGCTGCTGCTGCTGCTGCTGCTGCTGCTGCTGCTGCTGCTGCTGCTGCTAGGGTTTGTCTCTGATGTTTCGGGAGTGGGCCCTGGACCCTTCTTTTGCTGCTCTCGCCGGCGTTTTGGAAGAAGACGAAATGGCTCACCCGGGGCTGCTGCTTTTTTTCTCAAGGTTTCTTGTCAGTTGCTGCTGCTGTTGCTGCTGTTGCTGCTGTTGCTGCTGTTGCTGCTGTTTGTGGTGCTGCTACTGTGACATCTACTGCAGCTGCTGGACTAGTTTTCCTACTGCTGCTGCTGCTGGGGGCGGCACCGCTGCTGCTAATGCTTCGGTAGCTGCTGCTGTCGCTACTGCTGCTGCTGCTGCTGTTTCGGTAGCTGCTGCTACTGCTGCTGCTGCTGCTGCTGCCGCTGCTGCATGCACTCTTGAAGCGGCCACTGTGGCCATTTTTCGCACTGGAGCTCCTGTCCAGCTGTTCAGGTTTATGGCTTTGGGTGTAGGGTTTAGGGTTTAGGGTTTAGGGTTTGGTTTGTGTAGGCCGTCCGTCTTTTTTTCGTTTTGGATTCGAGCAAAAGAGGTTTTGTTCATATAAAGGAGTTGCTGGCGTTTGAAGAGTTCCAGCAGCTACTTAATGCGCTGTATAAACCCGTAAACGCTAAACCCTAAACCCCAAACCCTAAACCCTAAACCCTAACCCCTAGGGCCTGAAGGCAATACTGGCAGATGCGCATACTCAGCGCTAGGCTGGAAGCGCAGAGCTAAAGAAACCCGCAGCTGAAGGTGCATCTGGGCCTAAACCCTAAACCCTAAAATCTAAACCCTAAACCCTAAACCCTAAACCCTCATTGGAATTTTGAGAGAAGCTCCTTGCGGCGAACCTAAAGAAGCAAAAGAGACAAAGGAGACAAATGAAGAGCCTTGCGCATTTCCTCACATTCAAACGGCCTAGGGTTTAGGGTTTAATGTTTAGGGTTTAGGATCTAGGGTTTAGGGTTTAGGGTTTAGGGTTTACAGGCCAAACAACTGCGAGTGCAGCTGGCTCTGTTTTCCCCTCTAGAACGCCTCGCCATTAACTATAATTTATTTATTTATTTATTTATTTATTTATTTATTTATTTATTTCAGATTGATTGTCCCCCCGAGGAAATCCTGAGCCAGTGGTCTGTCCAGTTTGCTTACGACATCTTCAGTGAGGACTTTCTCTATTTCATTTGTTTATTTATTTTAATTAATTAATTAATTAATTAAATTAATTAATTAAATTAATTAATTTAATTATATTAATTAATTAGTTTATTATTTGTTATTTGTTTTCATTAATTTTAGCCGTCTTAAGAGGCTTAGAAGAGCGGCGGAACAAAAATTAAAAAAGTTGAATAGTAAATAAACAGTAATAAATAATAAATAATAAATAATAAATCATAGATAATGAATTATAAATAATAAACAAATAATTAATTAAAATGATATATAAAAAATAAGAGAGACAAAAAGACGCAAGAATCTGCTTGCTGCTGCTGCTGCTGCTGCTGCTGCTGCGGGTTCAGATTTTCTGCGGGAGAACGGCTTTTGCTGCAGCAGCAACACGATATTTGATTTGCTGCAGTCTCTTGCTGCTGTTGTTTGTCCCTTTGCATTTGACATAACTCCTTTTTGTCTCCACCGAATTTTTCTTTCCAAAGCAGCAGCAAAAAGAAGCCTCAGCAGCAGCAGCAGCAACCTTTACTGGCCAGAATTCGACGCGGAAACAACCCCCCAGCAGCAGCAACAGCAGCAGCAGCAGCAGCAGCAGGGAGCATCGGGGGCGGCAGACACAGGGGCGGAAGTCTTGTGCTTAGTAAGTCAGAAGCCGCTGTTGCTGCTGCTGCTGCTGCTGCTGTTGTTGTTGCTGCTGCTGTCGTTGTTGCTGCTTCTGGTATGCTGCTGCTGCTCTTTTAGGTCTTTTTGCGTAAATCCTCAGCAGCAGCAGCAGCAGCAGCAGCAGCATTTTAACTGCCCGCACATCCCTTAAACGAGCAATTGATTCTTCTTCAAAATAACCATTTAGTTATTAATTAACTAATTATTTATCAATTAATTATTAATTAATTATTTAATTAATTAAATTATTTTATTTATTTATTTTATTAAAAATCCTGCAGGCAACAGAAGACCTCATTCGGCTTCTTGCTGCTCTGGACTACTGCGCTGCTGTTTGGAGTCCAACGCCTGCAAAGGCCCGCATTGTGGCTCCCTCTGTGAGGGTTTAGGGTTTAGGGTTTAGGGTTTAGGGTTTGGGGTTTAGGGTTTGGGGTTTGGGGTTTGGGGTTAGGATTTCGGGGCTTGGGGGGTTCCGTGCAGTCCATTCGAAGGTCTCGGGGTCTCGCAGCTTCAGCTGTGAGGGTTTAGGGTTTAGGGTTTAGGGTCTAGGGTTTAGGGTTTGCCTGCAGTGTATTCGAGCCTCTCTGGAGTTCCTGTGGGATTCCCTGGACGTTCCCAGGAAGGGCTATTTCAACATGACTGACCTCTCTGAAATGTGGGAGGTGAGGGTTTAGGGTTTAGGGTTTAGGGTTTAGGGTTTAGGGTTTCTTGTGGCGTTTTGCACATCGACCGAAAGCAAATCGCTCCTGCGGCGCCGCTCGCGCCATCCCCTCTCCTCCACACTGCGCCTTCCAGCGTTTAGGCTTTAGGGTTTAGGGTTTAGGGTTTAGGGCTTGCGCGCAGGCAGCAGCAGCAAGTTTGTGCGCTCAAGGGTTTCCTGCTTCGAGCTTGGCTGAGGGTTCTGTTGTTTTGGAGGTTTGGGACCGACTGAGAAATTCAGAAGCAGTTCTGAGGCGCAGCACTTGCGTCAAAGACCTCGTGAGGGTTTAGGGTTTAGGGTTTAGGGTTCAGGGTTTAGGGTTTAGGGTTTGGGGTTTAGAGTTAAGGGTTAAGGGTTTGGGGTTAAGGGTTAAGGGTTTGGGGTTTAGGGGCCGCTGACTGAGAAATTCAGAAGCAGTTCTGAGGCGCAGCACTTGCGTCAAAGACCTCGTGAGGGTTTAGAGTTTAGGGTTTAGGGTTCAGGGTTTAGGGTTTAGGGTTTGGGGTTTAGAGTTAAGGGTTAAGGGTTTGGGGTTTAGGGGCCGCTGACTGAGAAATTCAGAAGCAATTCTGAGGCGCAGCACTTGCGATAAACACCTCGTAAGGGTTCAGG